GTTTAGTATGTGATGATTGTTCCTTCCTAGGTCCTTTTGTCTTATTACCTTCTTTTTGCTGGTTCGTTTCCAAGGGATTAGTCATGAATCTTTTAGCATTTGCGGTGCTAGAGGATGGTTGTTTCTGTTTGGGTTTCCTTGTACCTCTTCCGTCGTCTCCAAGGTTTCTTGGAGAGGTGCGAAGCGGGAGCTTGTGTTAATATTAGTTGCACCTTCCTTTTGTCCAATATTTCAAGTTTGGTTTCTCAGTCTTCGCTTTATTGTCACTACCATCCAAGGCCCGTAGGGGTATCGTCGTTTAATTCGGCTTCCTATGTGTTTGGCATGGTTTGGTTGTGTAGGTTTGCTGGTTCTGGCATGTAAACTGGGTTAACCCCACACATCCTTTCGAGTTTCCGTAGATGCTACACTTGAAAAACAATTGTCGTAGACTTCGTATTCAATTTACTGGGTGAAATCATCGATGTCGATGCAAGGAATTAGGGGTTTATTCAGATCAACTAAAACGACTAATCTTGCAAATTTACCCCGTTCACCCGCCTTTGTGTTGTAGTCTATTCTAATCACCTTGTCGATCGAATTGGCTATTGTCCTGAAAAGCATTTTTGTGTAGTATCTATAGGGTAATCTCAGGAGGCGAACCTAAATTATTACTTGATATGGATGTTTTCCTAGGTGGAGAATCCTCTGCTCCATGATTGTACTGTAAGGTAACTCCCGTAAATCGTCCAAGGGCCGTCCGTGAGAACCTTGGTGTAGTCTTCTGCTCATTCAAATTTCACGAGGTAGTAATCGTTGCCAAGGTCGATAAGGTTGATTTTTTCCATAGGGTGCCAAAAGGCGTTGGTCCTATTCCAGAGGACTCCAATGCCTATCTTCTTCCCTATGAGCCTCAAGATGACTGTTTGTTTCATGTTCTGGTCGATTAGGTCGTGTACCGGATCATAGAACTTTATCTTTGGGCAGGGACCGGTTGTGTCGATTATAACTTCTCCCTCCTAGAAAACTATATCGTCTTCTACTTTTCTTTTATCGTGAAAAAAAAAAAATGTTTTTGACAAACATTATATGAGTCTCTTAGCACTGTTGCAGCAATATTTCTCATCTTACAATTATATATTTTATTTACCTCTATAAAATTTAACATATAACAATATTTTTAATAACAATATGTACATATAGAATAATTATTTGACATATTTTTAATAAAGAATTTCTTTTATCTCACTCTACGTTAATATATCAATTAATAAATTATATTGATTTCTTATCTTGAAATTTTTTTAAAATTTCACAAGCAAGTATCTTGTTTTATTTTTTGAATTTTTAAAGTTAATCAAATAACGCATGTCATTATTTTAATATTATTTCTTAAATAACAGTTTTTATTTTATTTTGATACACATGTATGTTCTATATATTTTCGAAGTACCTAGAATAGGCCTGTATCTAGGACTATAACGAGTTGAGTTTGAATGAGTTTTACTAGGCTCAAAAGTTTAAAATTGAACTCAATTCGATTCAAAAGCTTGCGAGTTTAAAATTGTAAACTTCGACTTAAACTCGGAATCAAAAGTTGAAGTTTAGCTTGAGTTCGAAAAAATTTAAACTCGAAACATTCTCAGATTTAACTTAATTAAAGCTATAACTTGAACTCAGTTCTAGCTCGAATGCGAACCTAAACCTTAAGTGTACAAAAATCTTATATTGCATTTTAAAGAACATATAAATATTAATATTATTAATAATTTAATTTAAAATTTTAAAACTTAATATATTATTTTTATCGAATTTTCGAGTTGGATATCAGGTAGCTCATTTCAGTTCGTTAGAACTCGAGCCGAATTTATTCAATTCGAATGATAACCGAACTTTGACAAAATCGAATTCAATTAAATTGTAATGTATCTATCTCATTTCCAGGCGTACCTATATCTATCTAGCTACCTTAAACAGGTCTTACTAGCAGCCATTTTCTACTAATTAATGTTGTTGAAGATAGTCGTAAAAGCTTGTATTACATGACAAATAGGGTGGCACTTCACTAAAGCAAGGTTGTACACCAGGTACAAAATACATAGGATTCTCTGACATTATTGAATTGAAATAGGTCGATATTATAATCAAGTCTATTTTTTGGTGTTAAAAACAAAGTGATGTGAATATGCAAGATTCATCGGTAGATCCTAAAGGTTAACCCCCAGCAACCGGCTGAAATTCATGGGCGCCACAAGTGGTTCTGATGCACCGAATAGAGTCAAAGCTGCCAACTCCGATGCCCTTTGTGTTGGATGGAACCGGTCCCAAAACAAGTACTCGTCGCGGTTCGAGCAGAAGCTTGCAGTTTGATTGCAGTCATAAGTTCCATTTCCACAGCAAGCTGCTGCAATGTTCTTGAAACCTGAATAAAACATGTCCATTGGATTGTCAAAATGATTACTTGTTTCTGTGTAGGAATAGTAAATGCTTACCCAAGGCCAACATGTCTCCCATGAAAAAACTGGTCATCAGAAACGTATTTGCCACCGAATATTCATGTCTTGGACTTGGGAGCTGAAATTGTCTAATAAGATCGCCACGTTTAAAGAGAACTCTGCTGCAAGCTCTTGAGCCGGTTTGAAACAGCTATCGTTACCGGTGAAGACGGCTCGAGCGAATGGGGTGCACCCGATTGGTGGAACGGTTAAAACGCCGAACGTTCTTGCTCCGAGCTCGTATAGAGTCTGTGACATATGTAGAAACATGTATGAAAGATGCACCATAGTTTAAGGCTTCAAGTGAACTAATTGAAAGAAGGGCAAATGATGATCAAACCTTTATATGGTACGCGTATGTGGATAACAGGGTGGCATTGAACTCCAGTACAGACATTGGGGGCGCTGGGTTAAGTAGATATTCAAGGATGTCGTTGCTTCCGATGCTGATAAGAAAGAATGCTTTCGAAAGAATCCTACCGGTTGCTTCTTCATTGCCTGTCTTGTTTGTGATGTTTGAACGAACGGTTGAAAACTGTTTGATCTGATCCTCTAAGGAAATCGCCATTTTCTGCAGATGTAATTATGTAACATATAATTTAAGAATTGAAGTTTGTTTTTCTCATTCATGCAAGTTCACAGAATTAAAAAGATGAACAGTCACGTACTACTTGTCCAGTATGGTTCAGAATACCGGATCCTCCAGAGGCAAAGTTGGCACCCTGCAGTATATTCTCCTGGAAAGTTGATGGATCATTGAGAAGGTATAGAAATGGTGGTGGACTCTTCGTTAATCCGAGCAGAACCGCTAAACGAATAGATCAAACAAGTCATTAGTACATGTCATAATGGCTAGCAAAATGAAGAGCTAATGGTGGATTTCTACCTATCTGATCAGCAGTGTTAAGGCCGTTGCTGAACCTCCCTGTCGGCTTCGAGTGAGGGAAATCAATACCATTGAAGTAGAAATCCGCCCTGGCCAGGCACCCAGGTATGAAGTCGTTAGTACCGACATCAAGGGTCGAGTCCCCGAATATGTAGACGGCTGCTGGTGGTGCCTCGGCACAGAGCAGAAGCGAAGTTACTGCAATCGACATGAAAACACAAAGGAAACATGAATCGTACCTATTCGCCATGTGACAGTGGCTATTCAACACAGAATCAAACATGTTATTGAGAGTATTTATATATGCAGAATCAAACTAAATGTTACAGCCTGTAGGATGTCATGTAAAGACGATGATAATTGAGGCCGAATATCCTGTGTAAAAGGATCTAAAAGCTCGAAACAGAAGAATTCCAAATCAAATCCTTCATGTTAAGAAAAAAACAAGAAAAAAGTACAAGCAAAAGAATCAAGTGAAAAAACTTATGTGGCGTGGCGACATGTCTCCATTAGATCATCTAAGTCCAACGTTAAATCACTATGTTGAAGGGATGTCTTTAGTGGAAGAGACGAATGTACGTCATTTTCATCCTGCTCACATGCATGCTCCAAAACATACATTCCCATAACAATGAATCTCCTCCATCCTCAACCTTACGTTTCTTTGCTTTTTCGACTTACATAAATAAGACGCGTGAAGCTAAAGACACTAACTAAAACCATTTGACAACAAATCAAATCTAAAACAACGTTGCCCTTTAGCTCATTTCAACCTTTAACATATGTTACAGACATTTCAAGATTCATCAACTTAATTAACTTATTATTATTTTTTATTAAATTTGATTAAATATTCACCTCTATTCTTATTAGGGATGCTAATGGAGTTGAGCAACTCAACTCAAGTTCGACTTGGTCAATGCTTGATTCAATTTCGAGCTCGACTTGAGTTCTTAACGAGTTTAGTCGAACAAGACTTAACTCGATAAATTTGTGAGCAACTCGTTAATTTTTTAAAAATAATTTTTTAGAATGTTTATTGTCTATTTTTAAGGCTGACTATGTAATATTAAACTTATCTTTTTTTCAATAATGATTGTAATATGTTAGTTTGGTATATTTGTGGATTGTTACTTTAGTTGTAATATGTTAGTTTTATATATTTGTGGATTGTTAATTTGGAGGTTAGACTTTGGAATTACTTCAGACACTATTTTAATCATTTTTTTAAAATTTTTTAAATTTAAATTTATATTAAACTCTATATAATATCACTAGATTTTACATATATTTAAGAAACACGACAAAATTATAGTAAGCTTAATGAATCGAGTACAATTTTATCGAACTTAACTGGCAATAAATCGAATTAAATAATTTTTCAATCTGAATCAAATACTATTCAATTTGTGATCGACTTGCTTGATAATCACCTAGACTTGATTAAGACATTAATAGAAGATAAATCGTAAATATTCTCATTAGTAAAAATGGGATTGGATTGGATAGGTTGGGCCAAGAGGTTAAATACTAAAAACCTGATGGGCTTTTTTTGTAGATACCTAACGGTAAAACATTATCTGACCGACCGCTACATACAGTTTGATTCTCGATACAAACTGCCTGCAAATACAATCTTCTACGAGCTCGCTTCTATCTTCTTTTCTGGTTTGAGTTTGGCTGTATTCACATTCCTAATCTTCTCTAAACTTTCCTTTTCCTTTGAAATTAAAAGAAAAAGGGCCAAAACCAGGAAAATCGGAAACAATAACGGACCATTGTGATGCAACAACTGGTGGTGTATCGTGTCGTTTAATGATTTGATTTGAAGATTGAAAATTTGTGTTGTTGTTCTTGGGTGGGTTTGTTTGATGACGATGGTCGTAGGTGTATTACGTTCCTTTCGCGATCGAGCCCTCGCCCGATGCTTCCACTGCTTCCCTTGTCTCTCTGATCCTGGTACCCTTTTTTTCCCTACAAAAAGAGAAGAAGAAGCTTTTACTATGTATTTTTTTTCATAATTCAGTTTAGTTGCGGATAATTAGCTTATCACTTGCCATTTTGTCGGAATTTTTTTATTTTTTAACGTTTCCCTTATGAATTAATTTGGAATTTCTGGCTGTGAGTTCTTAGCCCGGAGATCATCGTGGGGTTTGAAAGTGACATTGCTGATGCTGCATCTGATATTCGTTGGCATTCTCTTTCTTTTCGACGATGATTTGATTGAGAAAACCAAAAAAGAACCCTGGTATGTATGTATGTATATGTGACTTCATTCACTGCAATTACTTCTATTTTCTGCTTTGAAAAATATAAAGTTGGATTCTTTTGTTCAATTTTTCGATGGTCGATTTAACCTCAAGATAATGTGTGTATTTAACCTCAAGATAATGTGTGTATAGCATAAGAACATCAATAAATAAAGCATAAAAATACATCTTCCTTAGCTAGATGTTTTGATGTTTTCCAAGCTCACTTGCTTTCGTATTTTCTCTTGAAATTTATAACTTGTAAATGCTACATGTCTGTGGAACCTTCAATTTAATTCTTTCCTCGTTTTCCAGGTACATCGCTCTATATTTGTCATTGCTTTTTGCCACATTGATGCAATACTTTATTACTTCTAGTTCTTCTCCGGGGTAATACCAGTGCGCATTTATTCTCGAGATCAAAGTTTTCAACTGTATAAAATATTGATTACATTTTTACTCTAAATGTTTTTGTTCGCTTTGTTGTTATTTTGCTTTTAGTTATGTGGTTGATGCAATGAGGGCTGTTAACGAGACAAATGTGGTGTATCAGAAGTCGTCAATGGCCTCAAAGTAAGCCTTTTTTTCTTTTATCGGTCCTTCTCTGTTCTTTGTCACTCCTATTGTTTTGAAGTTTGAACTAAATTATTCTGGATAGAATGATCTAACAGAAATAGAAGCAGATTTATGCTTGGAATCTTACTATTTATCACGTTCTTATTATGTTTAAGCAAAGAAAGCCTGCTTCAAGCAAAAATGGAAGCTTGATTGTCAATGTAGAAGGGAGAGAATCAGGTAGAAATTTTCAAGGGAGTAATCCTTCATCTTGGACAAAGTTGGTGATGGACATGTATCCCCCTGGAACATCCGTTAGGTATGTAAAACACAGTTGACTTTGTGAATAATCTCTTTCAGTTACCTTTTTAAAGAATTTATATTTATGGATCTGCAATGGTGCTAAGTGCTGGCAAAGTTAAGCAATCACGGTATTTTCTTTCATGTATCACTTACTACTCTTGCCTTTTTACTTATGCATGTTGCTTTTATAAATCTTGCACAAGTGTGGATTAAAATACTTAACCTCTTTGCCTCACTAGTTTTAATCTTATCTAAGCACGTCTACGAAACAAATGGCATATGAATCTTGATGTTTTGCTTATTTTAGCCCCGTAAGCTTGAGTTTAATCTGAGTTTTTTCATGCAAATCACCAAGTGGAATGCAATTATGGAGAACTTATTGAATATCACTGAAGCACTGTGTTTCTTTTGGATTTTACAGGTCTTGCACTTGCTCCTATTGTAATGTTGAGCAGGTATTGAGATCTAATTTTTATGTCCTTCATGTGATACTACGTATTTCCTTTGAATTGACACCTCTTGATAACCTCTGTTTATGCTGTGTTAGTTACCTAGATGGTGGATGTTCATTTTTGACTTTGTATGATGTCTAGCATTCAAAAAATGTTTGTGTGAATATTTGTAGCTTTAATAGTGAGCCTGGAAACATGTTAACTTTAGTCATATTGTTGCTTTTGATTGGATGTTCATTGCAAAAATATAAAGAATCACTTCTGATTATTCAGCTAAAAATTTAGATGTTACTTTTGTGCCCACTTATTACCATGCATGGCATGTGATTGTTAGTTATGTTTCTTCATGTACAACTGCAGCCTCCACGAGCAAAGCATTGCCATGATTGTGATAAATGTGTTCTTCAGTTCGATCATCATTGTGTATGGCTTGGAACATGTGTTGGTCGTGATAATCATTGCAAATTTTGGTGAGTCTACATCATCTTTGACATATTCTTTATTACCTTACCTATAGTTTGTGAGTTACTATGGTATAAGGTTATCTATAATCTAATGAGAAGGGTGCTGAAACTGTAAAAAAGAAACTCATCATAAACCCATAAAGTACATTGAGAGGATTTTCTTTTCCCATTTCCATTATCTGAAATTGTTATTTTTATGACAACTATAACAAATTCATATAGTTGAAATATATTTTTCCTAATTTGAAACTGATTTGTCTTCTCCCATCACAATTTTATAAATTCAGGTGGTATATTTGTGAAGAGACAGCATTGTGCCTTTGGACTGGCATCTTGTACATTTCATTCCTGAAGGTCAACATTTCAAGGGCTTGGTATGTTATATTACTAAAGTAACTTTTCCTTTCTAACATCTTGGTATGGCAGTCCAATATTTTATGGTGTGAGACATGAGTGGCTAAATATCTATTATTTGACTTTTATCTTCTATTTGAGCCTCTTTAGTTACCTATTCTTAAAATTTGACTTGGAAACATGACAGGTGGAAGGATGCCATCGTTTTTCTGCTATTGATCGCCTTGTCAATTTCCATATTATTTCTACTACTGCTGCTGCTATTTCACAGGTAAGTGCTGTCATTTTTTACTTGTTTTTAGCATTGCATTTCTGATTTTGGTGATTGGTTTTAATGTTATGAACCATGTGCACTGCTTTATCATGGGAACCTTTATTTTTCATGCAGCTATCTTGTTCTGACAAATCAGACTACTTACGAGCTCGTTAGACGCAGGCGTATCCCATATCTAAGGTTAGTGGGTGCTTTTATTCTCTTCATTCTATTTTGCATCATGCCAATTGTGTGCTAATTCATCTTGAAGGTACAAATACAGTACCATGTTTATGTATATCGATGGAATTATTAACTACAGATCAAAAGACTCGCTATTTAATTTGATACAACACGTTTATTAGTTATACGCTGGTATGAAGCGAGTGTGAAGCTCAGATTGATTTTTTATCAAGTGATTAATCATGTGTTGACAGCTTACTTGATTTCCATTTTCACTATATGCAGGCAAGTTCCAGAACGGGTTTTTCCTTTTAGTAAAGGAGTTTGCAGAAATTTATATGAATTCTGCTGTGTTCGAAGCAGCTTTTACAGTTTGGAATCTTTGCCCTTGCCTCAAGAACTCGAAAAAAAATCGAGGCCTTACACTTGCTTAGATGTTTTAACCTGTCGTTGCTGCTGATATTATAGGGATATGTATCATTTAGCGAAAACAATTGTGATTTAAACCGAAAAAAAATATTTAATTTGGGGGTTTAGAAGCAATCATTCTAGTTTAATAGATGTATGGTTGGGTGAAAGTTGAGATGCTCATCAGGTTTAGATTTTAGTGGGTGATGTTTTTTGTTCCGATGTGTTTTAAGAAGTTGGAAATTGTCAACCAAGATTTGAATCGTCTCATATGTAGCTTCTTATAATCATCCAAAGGTATGAAAGAACTGCCATTGGGTCTTTAGCATTTCAATGCATTATTTGGAAGTTTATGTTGCTTCAGATGTCGAAAATAAGCTTTGTACACTGCTCGCACACACCATGTGCTCTCACCGACCAGTACATCAGAAACTGAACCTTCTAATACTTGTATCTTTTTAGGCTTATTGACCACCATCCACCCCTTTCGTTGACGGAGATCTTTCCGACCACTTGATTCCAATAGTTCTTGCGGCATTGAATGGACGAGGGTGTTTAATTAAATGGATTAGAATAAAAGACAAAACAGTATTTAAATTCAGCATTTGAACTTGGCAAAAAATATACAAATGCTGCCCCAGTAAGGTCTGAAGTAGAAGGAATCCACCCTATAAGAACAGTACATGGCGTCCCAAAAGTGAGACATTTTAGATTACATGCATGTCAGTTGTCGATCCACCTCTCAAATCTCAATAGACTGGAGGGCATGAATTTTCACATGACAAGAACTCCTAATGAGAGTATGTTTAGGAAAGACTATTATGGAGCAAGCTCCTAAACATGCACTCTAGTCCGTCTTCAAAACTTTCACACTCCATCCAAAGATTCTAAATCAAGCTGTGCGGATTGAATTTTCTTTTCCCCGGGGTCCTCTTTTGAACCCTGCAGCAGTAAGTTGCTGACCGCCAGATCGACTCTGTCTAACTCGTTCATTTTCTGCTCGTCTGTGAACAACGCTGAACCCTTCCGCACCAACTTCGAAACCAATGACCACTTCGAAGGCTTTGTCTTCAACGTAAATGGAGAAAGGAAAGAGGAAGGTGTGAAAAATGGAAGCAGTGATCAGGCTTGCTTCTTTAAGCAACGCAGTGACCGCAGAAAGATGATGGTCTTGTTTTGATCGGGAAAGTCTCGGAACATGTCCATAATGTGCTTCAATGATGCAAGAGAACTGGCAATTTTCTTTTTCATGGTCATCCTAGAGGTGATGTAACCGCTAACATTGATTTCAATGCTTAGCTCTCCCAGCTTGCTTCGTCGAAGAGCCGATTGAAGTTCTCGAGCACTTTGTTTCATCGACAGAATGGCATCCCTCGTGTTTTCGCACAGATCCAAGTGCTTCAACGAACAATCTAGCAATGCGTTCTCCCATTCCTCATTGGGATGCTGAGCTAAAGCTTTTTGAGTGGGGCAAATTAAGAAGATCGTCTATGCAAATGTACAACTCCGCTAAGCCAAATAGACTGGTGCAAAGTGTTTCGGCATTCGATGATGAAGCACCCTGCCAACACCTACACTTATTCAGCTTCTCTTCCAATCGAAGCGTGCTCGGATGGGATCGAGCAGGGAAGCTGAAGGATCGAACACTGTATTTCTTCGTAGACTTTGAGGAGAAAGCAGCCGTTGTCACTCTTTTCATTCTAAGATGAAAACTAATTAATCATCCATTAACATATATTTATACCAAGAAGCTTGGAAATAGTAGGCCCGTGTACCAATGTGGAAGGCATGTGATGATGGTGTGGGAACTTTTCCTGTAAAAAACGATTTGTAAATGATAAAGTTGCCTTATTTAACAAAAATCCCAGGGTTCTGATTTGGATACGATGTATCTGACTTCCGGGATTTTGTTTCTTTTCTCGCAACACTTGTGGATTCATTACAGCTCCAATGCATCGTTCATCATCCAACAATGCACAACTACCACTGTCGAACGCCGACCTGAATTTTTCTATTAAGAAAAATATGGCCACGCAAAGTTATCTAGATATGCAGGACCTTGAAATTCATGTTATTTGATATCCGAGATAACATTTGGAACTAAGGATGGATCGAAGGTGTGTTGGGAGCGGTCGTTCTTCTTGAAAATTTTAAATTATTATAAATTTTAGATATTTTCTCTTGATAATTTGTTTTCTTCCTTAAAAGTGTATTAGTTCACTCTCGTTCAAAATTTTAAAAGTTTATTTATTAATATAAAAATATTATGATTGATTTGATACCTTATAATACTAAACTTTAAATCATTTAAATAATTTTGTACGAGGGGTACCTCATAATAAGAAGCGATGCTTCCTAGCATAGACTTGACAGGCTAAGATATATGTCTTCTGCTTCATGACATGGTTTTTAGAACCGGACCGGTTAGTGAATCGGTTATGTTACCGGTTTATTGGTTCAACCAGTCGAATCCGTCTGACCGGACGGAAGAACCGGACGACGTTATAATTATTTAAAAAATTAAATAAAAATACCAAAAATATTTAATAAAAAATAATTTTTTATATCACAAGTCATATTCAAAGCAAGTCATAACATATATAAGTTAAAAACCATAAAATCAATTGAAACAAAATGATTCAAATTAACTACAACATAATATTTAATGTAAAACATATTAAATATTAAATATAATTATATAACTATAATTAAAAAATAAATTTGAGGTTAAAAAAAACATAACAAAATGATATTGTTTGGTTTAATTTTTTTTTTTAAAAACAATCCCACATGGCTAAGAAACATAGAAGAGCATCCCAAAAGTCTAAAGAGTAAAAATATGAGAACAAAACAATCTCACATTGCTAAGAAACATAGAAGCGCATCACAACTAACTTCTATAAATAATAGAGGTAATTTGGCATTCAAAATCATGGAGCCTTTTGGTGAGCATTGAGTGAACTATTCTTTCACTTCAATCAAACTTGAATTTTAGGCTTCAATCGAGCTTCTAATTTTTTTTTTTGAGTTCAAGCCTTTTTGAGTTCAAGTTTCAATATTATATTTCGAGTTTGAGTTGAACTTGATAATTTTTAGCTTGTGAGTTTGAGTTGAGTTGAGCTTACTTTTAAAGTTTTCAAGTTCGAGTCGAGCTCAGCAATACTCGAGTTCGACTTGACTCGTTTAACAAACGACGTTGTTTGGTTTAATTTTTTTTTTAAAAAAAAAAACAAAAATCCCGATTTTTTTCGGTTTTCAACCGGTCCGGTTCGAACGGTTCAACGGTTCTGGCCGGTTCACTAATAGCGGTTCAACCGGTTTATATTGAACCGGACTAAGAAACAGTTCCCGGTTGAACCGGTTGAACCGACCGATCCGATCCGATTTTCAAAACAGAGGCTTCATGTTATAATGTTGTGCATGGGTACATGAATGCTACTACGTTTGACACATTCAACATGAGGTGGATCTCCTTATGGATTTTGGCTAGCTTATTGTTATTTGTCACAGTTTCAAATTTTGAATCTAAAATTTATTGAAAGTTGTTTTTTAATTAATTTAAAATTTTTTATTTATAAAAAGGTGTTGTCTTCATTTTGTTTTAGATAAAGGTAAAAATTAATATTATAATAATATCATAAACAAAAAAATTATGCATTGTGATATAAATTTAGATTTTTAGCATTTTTTATTTTTAAAGGAATATTAATAATAAATTTATTGTTATAGTTTAATTTTAAAGGAAGTTAAAGGATTCTCAGTTAGATTTGTTGAATTTATAATATTTTTTGACGAAATAGACATTAAATTCATATTCATAATATCAAAAAGGAATAAATTATAAATTTTGGGGTCTAATAATCGAAAATGATAGTGGCCCATATCGATGGTGACGATGGTGAGTAATGACGACCACAAGAGACTTGGGTCGATTTAATCTATTTGATATTTATCTTAAATTTAAGAGTTAAAATGATATTTTATCTAAAGTTTAAGGTCTAATTAGTATTATATTTAAGTTCAATGATTAATTAAAAATTGACCTCTTGTGACTAACGTGTTATGTCATCAACTACTAATTGACCAAAATATAACAATCGATAACATAAATGGTCAAAGTTTAATAAATCAATAATATAAGTGATCAATTTTTTATAAAAAATTTGGCGATTTTTTTTTTTTAAAAATACCAATCCAATAGTTTATTAAAATTATATTCACAAAAATAATTTTATATTTGATAAATTAAATATCCCTTCAATGTTGAGTATAAGTGAAGTCAACAATTTATCAAAAAAAAAAAAGACAAATAAAGTGTAACCAACAAAAGTATGTGAAACTTCTAAACCCTATCTACTTCTGACACGTGTCAAGATATTATTTAATTTCTCGTTTCGGGTGCCTCTACGTGGGTTCATAGCCAACACGTGGAGAGAATTGGACGAAACACCAATTTACTTGAATAAGGAATGTGGTAACAAGTGTGCGGCGGGAAAAGAAAACGAGAAACAGCTGGAGAAACCATGGAATAAAAAAAAAAGAATTGAGGATCTATAAAGGGTAATAAAAGCCTTTATGAAACCATAAAATAATAGTATAATGATAAGATTATGGACCTAAAATACACATCTTTTCTGTTCAAGTTGTGGGACTCTGTGTTATATGAATCTACCATTGGATATTGTCTTATGAAACAAATAGGTCATGATAAAACCATCTTGTATTTCATTCTGCGAATATACAAATTTTGTGTATGATGTACAAATCCATTAATTAAAATGGAAATCCCATGGCATATCCTCTAAAATTTGGATGTTTAGACAGTATTTTGACATTACTCTATTGAGAAATGATGTTCAAAAGAGAGGTTCTTGCTTTAATCAAGTGCCTAAACAGGCACTCCACACGGTTCTCCACGCCTTCAGTGCTACTCTCCAATGCCACCAATCTTTTATGTGCGGTTTGCATCTTTCCAACATCCAAAGCATGTGACCTGCAAACTGCAGCATCCACGCTTTCTAATTCATTAACAATACCTTGCTTCTCTTCACAAGCTACCACACCCTTATGCATCAACTTCGTCACCAGAGACCACCTCGTTTGCTTCGTCGAAACTGATGTCGACAGGAACGAGAAAAGGGATCGAAACACGCAAGTATTCATTCTGTTAACTTGTCTCAGAGCTCGAATCACGGCCGAGAAATGATGGTCCTGGTCCAGACATGACGATGATGCATCCAATTTATCATCCATTTGCTTCAATTCCGTGATCAATTTCCTCGCCTGCTTCTTCATCGCCTTCCTGAACGACGCGTAACGAAGGATGTTACTCTCGATGCTCGAATCTCCCTTCCTCCTCCTCACGGCAGATCGAAGAGCACCAACATGTTCCTTGATCTGAAACATGTAATCCCTCGCAATACCACATATATCTAAAAGCCTCACATATCCATCCAACAATTCATCGACACATTTCTCGTGTCGACGAATGGAGAGTACTTGTTGCGTCGAAGCCATATTAAGGAGATCATCAATGCATTGATACAAATCCCCGAGCTTCGAAAGACCGGCAGAAATCGACTCCGATGTCAACACAGCCGATGCTTCCCAAGTCTTGAACCGGTTCAACTCATCCTCTATTATGAGTGTGGTGGGATGTGATCTCGAAAGCAAACTAACCGATCTTACATGGTATTTGCTAGCCATCTTAATTTGCATCTTGCTTTCTTCTCCTCTCTCTCCTTCTAGAGAGCTTGAATCCAAGATGATTTAAAATCAAATCAAAATCAACATCTATTTATATTGAAGGCAAGGGAATGCGATCACCATGTGAACCATAGTGGACTTGCTCCTTGGGAATTTCGGATACCATGTCACATCCTTCACCAGCATGGCTCAAATAATAAACTATATAATAAAATATATAGAATATTATTTTCAAAACTTAAAGAATTGCAGGTGACTCAGTTTTTGCATAGGTGGCTTGCCTGGGTTTGTCTCCTCATTCAACAACCTTTGTACACCAAAAGGTATTCATTAATTTTTCTTCGTCTTGAGATTGAGATCCAGATCCGTTACATAAAACCAAAATGCAATAATTTATAGGCTTGTTATAATTTCAAAATCTTGATTATAGCACTAATTGGCCGCCCTTTGTATTGCCTGTAATATTAAGTGCACGATTGGCATGCACTCTGTATAATGGTTTAATATAATATTTAATCAAAATATTTTTAATCCTTTAATAATAAATATTTAAATATTCATAAAAACAATTTAATACAATCCGAACTTTCTAAATATAATAATTATTCCTTTAATAATTGAGTAATTCCTAGATATTAATAATCTTCAATGTAAAAGTTTAACATTAATATATATTTTTACAATTATGATGTGAGTGTAAACATGTTTTATATAAAAATAAGAATAAACTTGATTGAGTTTTAGAATCAAAGGTAAATATAAAAGCACGTATAGTTTTCGTAGCGCAACACGTGTGATATAACAATACAGTCCTTACATATTGGGAATCGGTGAATTGGTATTTGGCAGCTGGCTGTTAGGGAATAAGTATATGGACACCAAGTGTCCACGGCTAGTCTCTAACTCCGATGGGAAACATTACTTTAGGCTTTAAAGGAACCATGATTTGATAGACTAAAGCTCTTCATTCGAATTATATTTTGACTCACTTTTTTTTTCTAAGCTAAAGTATACAAATAGTCTCTGATAGTATTTTATTAAGTCTTTGAAATGGTTTTTCGGTTATAGTACGTTATTTTATTAAGTATTTTGATTATTAAAAGTAATAAAATAGTTACATAATTATTCGTTACGTTTTAAACTCGTCTTTTTCGATTAAAAGATTAACGTTCGTCTAAAATAGATTTTAACATGTTGATTGAGATACGATAGTTATTTGAGATCATGAGATCAAATTTTATTATATATCAATCAGTATATTAATGTCCAGCTCAGACGATCGTTAATTTTTTTAACGGAAAATGAAGAGTTTGTAACATAATGAATAGTCAGGTGATCATTTTGTAATTTTTAATAGTTGAGGGATTCAAAAAGCAAAACGTTATAATTGGATTATCATTTTGTAATTTTTAATAGTTGAAGACTAAATAAAAGAGTATCCTACATTTGAGTACATTTGTATATTTTTATCCTATTTTTCCTAGTACTTTAACTTTCAATGTTTTAATTTTTATTAATTAACGGCACTACAGCAAAACTGTACATTTGCGGCGTTTTTTTATACCTATAGCGGCGTTTTTAAGCGCCGCAAAAAACACCTGCGGCGCTATGACAAACGCCGCAAAAAGCGCCGCTGAAAATAGCGTCGCCAAAGTTCGCGGCGTTTGGTAACAAAAAACGCCGCAATAGGTAACGATATATAGCGGCGTTTGTCCAACAAACGCCGCAATAGGTGTTGATATTTAGCGGCGTTTGTCCAACAAACACCGCAATATGTTTTGATATTTAGCGGCGTTTTTTCAACAAACGCCGCAATAGGTGTTGAGATTTAGCGGCGTTTTTCCCACAAACTCCGCAATAGGTGTTGAGATTTAGCGGCGTTTTTTCCACAAACGCCGCAATAGGTCTTGAGATTTAGCGGCGTTTTTCCCACAAACACCGTAAAAGATCTGGTATATAGCGGCGTTTTTAGAACAAACGCCGCAAAAGGTCATATCTATAGCGGCGTTTTAAGATACAAACGCCGCTAATTACCTCTCTATAGCTAAAAGAAATTGATTTTGCAAATTAAAACTAATTTGTCAAATGTTGTTTTCTACTCTTTTATTACCCAAATTTAACCTGTAGCATTTTCCAATAAACTTGACATCCATACAACAAACTTAAAATCCATAACAAAAAAATGAAATCCATAATAATAAATCAAAGTTTACATTAACGTAAAATATAATGTAGTTCAACATTATAACTATAATAACAATAATATCTAAGATATTTTGCTTCTAATCTTACACATTCTTCAAAACTCTTCGTCACAATGAGGCGCTTAAATTCAAAGAGATAAATCCAGTTTATATGGGAAAACAATGATACAGAGCTAGTATTGTCCTGTCATTTCTTGCACAGATATTTTGCTTCATGAGGTCTTACTCCAATTGGCATACCACTTGAAAAGGCCCCATCCATGTCAATGCAAACCCGATCTCTAGTTTCATATCCAAATAAATCATCAGTTTATATGAAAATCCATTATATCTTACGTTAAAAAAGTTAACAACACATTTCTACATAGTCAGTCCCAGCAGTCAACAACTCTATGGCATGGGCAACCATCATGATGATAAGCAAAATATAGAGATAGATTTTAATAATTGTGCAGAAACATCCAAGCTTGAATTTCATGATAACTTCTAACAGCTTATCAGACCAAACATATTTTAAATCAATAGCACCCAGAAAAAGGCTCCAAAACTACATTCCTAACAAACAGAAAGATATAAAGATGGAAATATGACAGCTCATCGAGGGTTGTACTCAACCTGGTTCAAAGTCTCCACCTGTTTCCCGAAATAACAGTATAAGGTCAATCCCATTGGCACCATGTCAAGTCATAACACAAGATGACTATTCTACTCACCATAAAGTTCGTTGTGGTAACATTATACTCATACTTCCCAGCTATCTTCGACCAGACAATAAGTATTGCTTGTGAACTTGTAAGAAAAAGTCAATGCAAGTGTAACAATTGTCCTAATCAAGGTGGGAAAAACCATCAACTTTTTATCTTTCTCAGTTTTTTTTAAAGCTAATATTAGTAAAAGGAAAACAAATCATGTAAGTTGATCTTACTTGCATTTCCACTTGGCTTGTTCCCTTGGAGGAACATTCTTACGGAAGCTGTATATCAATGGAAATCATAACAGAATTGAGTAAAACAAAGGATGAAATTTTGTACAATTGAAATTGCATAGCAATCAAACAAGCACTTTTAACCAAAACATACCAACCCCTGGAAACCCTGTGCCTCTTGGATTCTCAATGTCATCACTTACAGTTCCTCCATCATCATCCTACGAATCAAAATTCACTCAAACAAGAATAAAATATCATATTTAAACCTCTTATGTAGATAATTTCAATCAAATCTAGGACAAATTTCACACACTTAGCAAGTAAATATCATTCCTTCAATTTTACAAATCAAAATTCACTCGAACAAGAATAAAATGTACTATAATCAGAAATACTTTAAATTAGCTTTTCTCCAGTAAACAATTACATCGAATTTTCGAGGAATTCAAGAAAATTAGCCACCAGGTTCACAGAATAAGCTAAAGCAAATGCCGTTAAATAAACAAACTAGGATTTACTGGCAAAATAAAGGTAAGCAAAGATATCAGTGACGATTGATCCAATTTGACATCCGAATATGATAATTAAGAACGTTGAGGCATACAAATAGAGGAGAAAAATAAAAGGAATAAATCGAAACTCTGTAATAAATACTTACCAGTTTGCAGACATTATAGGCAAACAAGATATAGAGAATGACCATGATACACACAATAAAGATGTTGTATTGTCCACAATCAAGCTCTAGACCCATAGTGCCTTCTGTATTTTCATGTTTTTTTGGATATTTCGTAACATACAAATAAATATCACTTATGAACAAATTACCAGGTTAAAACCGATAATTTAAAGAATAAAAAAACATTTTCAAGAAGAAAAAATTACGTGACTGAGACCCATTTACAATCGAAATGTTGAACTTGAGCTATCCCTTCTAATAAAGCATTATATGTATTATCCCCTAGATCACTAACACCCTTTACGATAGCACATACCTGCATTATATGTATTCAGTTATCACGTAATTCGTGGAAATGAGAGGATGAAGGATAACAAGGAAGTTTATTGAAGACTCACCACAATTGCGTAAACTGCCGAGAAGAAAAAAATAAGTCCTGCTAACAAACGAGTTGATATAGTCTCCAAAAAAATAGCAGAGAGCAGGTTACGTCTTAGAAGCTCATACGTCATCCTCGCAGATGTGCAGTATGCCTCACCAGTTATTGAGGCGAAGTTGATGGTGAACTTGTTAAGAAACTCTATCGCAGACATTAGGGCATTAACACAACACCGGAGGACAAGATTCACTATCCCGGGAACATCTTCTTCTCTCGCGCTATCAACAGCAACACACACCACTCGAACGACACAGATAAGTAGTCCAGATAGACAGACAGTGCCAGAAGAAAGACCAAATGCATTTTTGCAAGTGTTTAGAACCAAAGGGTTAGAAAGGTTAAATCTAGCTGTTTAAAAATAAGCAGACATGGGTGATGCCTTGAAAGTATGTCCAGCTTGATTCTCGATGTTGTAGATATTTCATTAAGATATCCTTCAGAAACCACCTTAGCGACACTAAGAATAGTGTTATGCCTAGTGGACACGAAGCTAAAAGACTGCCTAATCTCAATCGAAAAGGACCCAAAAGAATTCAATGTTTCTAGAAAAGAAATTAACATGTTGTATTCAACATGGCAACTTGAGCAAATAAACTAGAGAAGTAGCCCCCTTTTCATGGCACCAGAGAAACACCACCTGAGAGGAACATACTCTAGAAGAGTTGTTAGGCACCAGATCATTAATGCATTCTTCAGTCCATTCAAGCAAATAAAAAACAATGTCAAATTGAATCCATAAATCCAAACCAAAGCGAATGGCCACTACAGCGATCTTCCATACTCAAGAACAAACACTATACTTGAATCCATCATGCAGCCAAAAACATACTAAAATCAATGTTACCAACCTATAATCCCATAGGATCACTATTATCTTTGATAACTAATCAACACAATCTGGTACTCATGATGTAAGCATGTTGCATCCTATCAAAAACACAATATATATTTCAAACCGTCTATATTAATACATTAAAAATCATAGATCATGAAAAAGCTGAAAAACAGTAGGATGTTACCTCAAAGATCGTCTTATACTACGGTGAGGTTTCTCTTCATCCTTCGAGAAGTACCATTGAGCAATTGTGCCACTGATAACATAAACCTGAGCTTCCACCATTGTTGTCAAGGACCACAACATTGTCAATATCGCCAATGTAAAATAAGCTGGCACCCAGCTATCTTGTTTCCAAAAACAAGTATACTCCCCATTCGATTCTTTAGCTACAATTTTCCCATTAAACGTTGAAAACACCAAGAACACAACAATTGGGGCATAATAAACTAACAATCCAGCGGTCAACAACGGTATCACCAAGAACAATTCTAAGTTCCTCGAAAGCGAATCGGAAGCAACCCCGATAATCCTCACGATCAACTCGATTCGATGCCAATTAGCCACGACGATCCAAACAATAACCCCAACTCCAAGTAAACAAAACAAGCACCAAAATTCTATAGACCAAAGGGAAAGTGTCGCTACAAGAAGAGCTCAAGGTACAAGCAACGAACCAATAAACATCAAGAAAGTCGGCACAATTACAAAGAAAGGAAGCAAAACATAACTATCTGCTTGGTGTAGTGTTTGAGTAACAAAAGCAAAAGGAAACAAATGGGTACACTTAGAACTAAAGTTATGACAAAGGTCCATGCTACATATGTCCAAAGACTCGAACTTGACAACAAAAAAACAGAACTTTCAAAAACCCATACTGATTTTGATGAAAAAGAAGTGCCCTGAACGCAAGAAGTGGAATTGGAATCGTAGGTGAAGGTCGAAACGTTGGAGTAGCTGTCGTTTCGATGGAAGATTGAGAAAATACCGAAAGCAAAAGTGCAGAGTACCGAGAGAAGGAAGAGGAAGAGAAAAGGGAGGTCTTTCAAAGGTCTGGGTCCGTAATTGAAAGAGATCTGGATGAACTGGGTTGGGTCGGATTCGGAAGGGTCGGGTTGAGGTGTTTCTTCGATTGGAGGAGATGGGTAGGTGGAGCTGGTGGTGGGTTTGAAGAGGAGAGGTTCGGTTGGTAAAGTGGCGTCGTATAGAGGGATGGGTTTGGCTGTGCTTGTGGTTTCTTCTTCCGTGCTGCCCATTTGCAGCGGCGGACAAACAAAACGTGTCTTGAGAAAGGATTCTAATTTGATAGGAAAAGGGGATCGTGGGAACAGATGGAAAATGGGAAAGGGATTTGAACAATTAAAATTATCAAATATTGCGGCGTTTGTTGACACAAATGCCACCTTTTATCATTTTATAGCGGCGTTTTTAAGAAAACGCCGCTAAAGTACATATTTTTTATGGCGTTTGTGTAAAAACGCCGCTAAAGTTCTAATATGTTGCAGCGTTTATTAGAAAAAAAGCCACTATAGGAGAACTCTATTGTGGCATTTTTATAAAAACGCCGCTAAAGTACAAATCTTTTGCGGCGTTTGTCAGAAAAAAATGCCACTATAGATGGACCTATTGCAGAGTTTGTATAAAAACGCCGCTAAAGTACTACTTTGTTGTGGCGTTTGTTGAAAAACGTCATTACATATGTACCTATTGCGGCGTTTATATAAAAATGCCGCTATAGTACTACTCTATAGCGGCGTTTGTTTAAGAAACGCCATTAAAGTATCATTTTGTGGCGTTTGGATTGTAAACGCCGCTATATGTTTAAATTTTGCGGCGTTTACTTTCCAAACGCCGCTAAAAGCGGCTACAGAACAATTTTGCTGTAGTGCGGTCAATTCACATTATTGATGTATTATTTTTATATGTGCTAAATTATTAACTGATCACATATTACATCATTCTAAGTGATAATGTAATATATGTTATGTTATCAAAGGTGATAATATGGTATGTCCACATCACTTAATGTGAGGTTGTGAAGTGACATATCATTTAAAATGATGATGTGATATATTCACATCATTTAAGGTGATGATATGATATGTTTGCGATACTAAGGATGATGATGTGTCATGTACAACGTCATCCAATGTGATAACATTTTTAAATCACATTATTTAAGGTGATGTTGTGACATGTGATACATCAACAATTAAACATATGTAAAAATATTAATCAGTAATATGTATTGATCGTTAGTCAGATAACGATTTTTATTCAATAAAAGTTATTTTGATAAAAATATTTAAAATTAAAATTAAAATGATCATTCAATAAAAATAATTAGGGTTAGTTTTAACATTATAATCCCTAAAATTATGTGAAGGGGGTAAAGGAACTTCTTCCACTTTCTTTCATTCATAAAAAAAATGTATATATTGTCTTATAATGAATTGTCTCTTCTCCTTGAGTTACTTTCCTTTCCGTCCCTTCACCACGATCCAAGCATAGTGTAAAAGTTATGTTGGAATGAAAAGAGGAAATGCTAAATAGTTAGAATTATTTGAAATCATAGAATCCTCAATGGCTTTTGCATCATTGCCTGTATTTGCATATATACATACACATACGTTTTGCTTATACAATTCTCTTACAAAATCTTCTTCTTCAACATGGACCATTCTTTCCAAAGTGCAGATGCCATGAACAATAAGGACTACAATATCATGTTCAAGGTGTGAGGATATTAAGTAGAGACACTCTAATTTTGATTAGGCTTCTAAACAGGCAATCTAAACCTTCCTCAAGGCCTTCTATGGTTGCAGGAAGTGTCTCTAGTCTCCTTAGTTCAACCCGTGCATCGATCTTGACATCTTTTTTTGGAACTCGTCCATGGAGCATGTACAGGGTAAAGCTTTTGATTCCTATCGGAAACCAACCTCCTTTGGTTTTAATTACAGGCATCAAAAGAAACGAAAGCAGTACCGGAACATAGAAATCGCGACGGCATTGGATTGTTTATGTGATTTTACCACCCTTGATAAATGGCAATCTACATCAAAGATAGGAAATGCAACATTGTTATTGTAGCATTCCAATCTCTTTAGTAGTCCAAGGCTTTTAGCAATGTTCTTTTTCAACTTCTTTCTGAAGCTGATATAAGCATGGATATTGTTTCCAATGCTCGAATCTCGGCCCCTCCGACGTAGAGCGGATTGAAGGTCTTGTACTTGCTCCTTCATCATCATAATTAGGTCTCTCACGGTGCCACATGCATCGAGCAATCTGACCGAATTGTCAAGTGCCTCCTCCACTGGTTTTACATTTTGCTGATGTCGAAGAGTTCGGTGAGTGTGTGGAGACTGAATGACTTCCACGATGTTGTTATACAACTTTGCAAGCCTAGTGAAATCTGCACATATTGTCACGCCACCACCTTGAGTTTTTTGTGAACACAAAGATACACCGAACGTTTTAAGCTCGTTCACCTCCGTTTCGATTGAATTAAGCTGCAACCTGGAAGGCAAGCTGATGGATCTTACCGGAACATTCACAGAATGAACTACAGATGAACTTGCCATATTTTTCACACAAGAGGAGGTCGAGACATATATGCTCAGACAACCATAACTCTTGTATATATATTTATGAGAAAGGCATTTGACGCCAAAGTCCAATCATTGGCCATGTGATAGAGAAGGGGATTGCCCTACAATTGGAAGATCCTTGTAACACATTTTTCGTACAACCTGCAACCGTTTATCTTTGTTTAATATTACGTTGGAGAGATGAACAACAATCGGTACAGTTCGTGTGAGCCGTATGCTGCCTTGCCTACTCATTTAGTGCGATACCCTTGTTTCCAACCAGAGTTTATTCATGTCCTCATCAGCTATTAGTTTAAGGACATTCAAGGCTGGCATGTCATGATTAACCAATGGTTTAGAGCCAGAAACATAAGGTCAATAGGCAAATCATAGGGGCAACGAATCTGGAGCAGACCCCTAGGCAAAGAATCTAGGGCGGCCTCGACATACAACGAAGTCCATAGGGTCCTCAACTTGTAGGCCACGACGCTGAAATGGAGATTTTTTATTGAAGAGAATAGTTTTAATAAATTTCGACGACAAAGTAAATTGTAAAACTGTCCGGACAGGGAGGGATCTAGGATGAAATCATGGAGTCTATCTTTAAAATTTAGAGCAAGTAAGCTTTTGGTAGAAAAAGGTGAGAGGGGAAATAGTAAAGCAGAAAATAGCAGCATCACATGCTCCATTCATAGGCAACGGAATGCTGCGATTCTCCTTGTCACCCGTTATTTCCGAATCCTAGCCATAAATTAATGGTTCACAAACATTATTATAGTTGTCAAATACTTTTATTAGCTGCCTATTATTTTCTTTTCAAAAAAAAATATGTAATAGAATATTTTCAACTATGGCATATAAACCCTAATACCTCCACTCCACCCAATCTAATAACATCCTTGTTGCAGGCCATCGTCACAATCATCCAACCCTATTTACTTCATTCACTGAGATGATCTCAACAGAAATCGTGCAATCAAATGATCGTTCTGGTATCACTTATCACGAGACTATTACCCTTTTCTTAAAAGAAATATCTAATGAGGCCATCACCACTTATAAACTTCAAAACCTCCCTTTTTTTTTTTTCAATGCGTGACACTTTGTACTCCCAACAAACGTTTTGCCTTTCCCTTTTGTTCAATAATTTATTTAAGCAAACTTTGGCGTTTCCTCATCTCGTTTGATTCAATAGCAGGGGACATCAATCCAGTGTAAATCTTGTTGTCGAAATTTCGGTGCATGGCCTATGTATAGCAGTAGAAACTCGCCACCTGCCACTGGAGATCGAAGGATGCAAGATTCTTTGCACCAAATCCATCATAGCCGCAAGTATCGTACCATTATTTTACACTTCTTTTCCTCCCCTTGTTTTCAATTAAATGTACCTGGCGAAACGTACAGGCTTCACAAAATATAAAAATACAAGCTTAAACATAATTATTGCATGTTAATGCATGGGCGTGGTCCACATGGTCAGATAATACGACAAAAGCATACTCATTTTCCCATTTTAGGAACACATCATGGATAACATATAAAACAAATTACATGTTTCCATGTCTATGAACCAAGAACCAGAAAACCAGAGAAAAAAAATTAAATGAACAATGAAATTTGAATTACTTGCTGCCATTTTTACACAGAAGGTTCAGTAGCAACAATGGGAAAAGCCTACTAGGCTAACAATGAAAAACGGGTACGTAATGCTCATTTATAGAATCTAAAGAATGAAAGTGATCTCTAAGTGCCATTTTTTGTTCCCCTTTATTTCATTTTACAATTTCTTCTGCTTTTCAAAAGAACCTCTAGATTTCATCTACCCGTACTGGATGAGCACAAGCACGATGTAGTATCGTGTTGTAATACAGCCTGAACCTATAAAAGCATTAGCACACGTAGCCGAAAACAGCATAAGAGGCTTATTGTGTGCTAATTCTTGAAGACACAAAGCCATACACATAATAATGCACTTGCAGTAACAGAAATTATGATGCCACAAGCCAATTTTTCCATATAAATGCAGTGCCTCACTTTATCCATAAAATAGGGGTATCAAAATTGCAACAAATAAGAACTACAAATCAGAGAGACTGATATTCGAGAGCATACTAGTTAGACAGCTAGCCCTTGTTGTCTAGCCTTCTTCAACCACTTAAGTGTAACCTCCAATGTTGAGTACGCAGCAACATCGGTTAGACTCTTACTCTCAACAGCATAATCAAACACATCATATGCCTCTGCAACCCTGCCCTCCCGACAAAGTGCTCTCACAAGAGTAGCATAGGAAGCAGTCTCGAGCTTCATACCAGCTGACTTCATTGCCCCGTATAACTCCATTCCTTTCTCCATCAATCTACATTTGCACAAACCATGAAGCAGTGTATTATAAGTGCATGAATTTGGAGTACAGCCCTTTCTTTCCATCTCTCCAACAAAACAACTGCACCCAATGCATTCCCTTCTCTACACATTCCATTCATCGAGATGTGTAAGTAACAGCATCCGGAAAATGCCCCGATTCAACCAAAATATCTAAATCCTAGCTTCTTTTACTCTCCCAGATTTTGATAACCCGAAAATCAAAGTATTATAAGTCACAAGATCAGGCTCCACACCTTCCTCTTTCATTTTCTTATAAACCTCTATCACCTCACTCCCTTTACTCAACATACAATAGCTTTCATAATGGTGTTATAAACAAAATCTGGCTTAAACCCCGACTCATTAAGAACACCAACCAATCTCATGGCCTCACGCAATTCTTCGAATTACAAACATTATCAATCAATATGGTATAAGTACAGATCAGGCTTTATATCAAACGAACTCTTCATATCATCAATAAAACCGTAAACCGTGCTCAAAGTTCTACACTTGCATAAATTTTTAACAAGAAAGTTGAACGTATAGGTATCAGGCGGAGACTGCTTTAAAGAAAGTTCTTTTACCAATTCTACGGCATGGTCGATGCGCCCGACCTCGCAAAGTGACCGGATAGCGATATCAGTGGTGACCTGATCGGGTTTGAGTCCATTATTGATCATCATATTGAGTATCTGGTTAACGGCGAGAGGGAGGAATCAGGTGTTTTACAGGATTGGGAGAGCAAGATGGGTAGGTTGATCGGTCGGGGGAGAACAAAGGTTGGGTTTTGAGCATATGGTGAAGAAGGGAGATGGAGTCGTGAAGGGTGGAGATTGAGGCATAGGATCGTAAGAGGGTGTTGTGGAAACGAAGATCGATGGAGGACTTGGTTGTGGCAACGATGTAGTTGAAAACCTTCTTGGCGGATGAAAGTTCGGGAGATTTGAATAAGGTTTCGGCCTTGCCGGATGCTAAGGAAGCTTCGGGTTTCCGAGAATGATGGGGTGGTTTTTTCCTGGTGATTTTCTCGGGAATATGATTTGGAATTGGGGTTTCCAAAGGGAACTTTCTAGTGAGGGAATTCGAGATTGCTGGACGAAAAGAAGGCGGGACTTTCCCCATTTTTTCTTCTTTTCCTCTTTTGAGTGGGAATTTGGGGGGGGGGGGGGAGGGTTAGGGTTTTGCAGGGGAAGAGTAGAAAGAAAGGAGGAGGGAGAATGTGAATATGAGATGCAATTTCATTTCAGGGCCCAACTCCAAGCTTAATATGGATTTTAGCTCAGGGGTTACTAATATATTTTGTAGGCCCAATATGTTTTTTTATAATGAAAATCTTATTTTATTATGTGTAAATATCAGGCAATATTATTGAATAATTTTTTTAATTTTTTATTAAAGCGACACCCAAATAATATTGTCGAAAACAATTTGGTTTAGAGATATTACGTGGAAAGCGTCTTTCGAAAGATGTACTTTATAGGAACATCATTATAAGGCTCTTTTCGTATAAATTTATCTTAATATATTGTATGTGCTATTTCTTTGTTAATTATATTCATATTTTGATTTATTATTCTTATTTTCATCTTGAATAACATGGGCGTAAGAAATGTCGAGAAACCTTCCACGTAGGTAATGGTTAAACACACATTTTAAAGGATATTTCTCTCATGATGTGTCTTTATTAAAGGATGTCATTTTTTAATAATTTTATTTTGATTGAAAATAGTTTTTTTAATAAGCTAATCTGAATAATAAAAATTATATGATTTTTCATCTAGTAATGTCTATATATATATTGTTTGAAAATGCAAATATAAAGATTTTACTTTGGTTGATTTTTATAAATTATTAAAAAATTATTTGTTGATAATAAAAAATGAATGTATTGTATTTGTTTTAAAAAAAAAATTATTTATTTGAGAGTCTGATGTTAATTTGGAGCACTAATTATGGAAATGAAATTGTTTTGTTTCTAGCAAAATAGAAAGCCGAGATTGTAGGAGTGTCCCACCAAGTAATCCGCTATAATAAAGTCAAGATGAATGACGGTCCCGAATTAAAGGTGTTTTATACATTGTGTTCAATTTTTTTTAATAAAATAAAAGTAAACTACACCGGAGTCGGAAATTGTAGCAAATTTAACGCACGTAAAGCACCCAATGGTGCTCAATCAGATATTTTGTTGAATATCTTAATTATTCAAAAATAAAGTGATTCTCATATTATAAAATTATTTTATTGAGTCACTCAATTATTAAAAATATAAAATGGTTATCCAACTATTTATATGTTTTAAACTCGTTTTTTTCTATTAAAATTTTGACGACAATTTGAATTGGACGTTTTGCATACTTATTGAAATACGATAAAATAAATTTCATATCTCAAATGATTATCATATCTTAGTAAGTAAGTTAACGTTCATCTTAGACGATTGTTATTTTTAACGAAAAAGACGAGTTTGTAACAAAATGAATAGTCGGTAACCAATTTATAACTTTTAATAGTCGAGAGACTCAACAAAGCAATGTCCTATAGTCGGAGGACCATTTTTATAATTTTAACAATGAGGACTCAACAAAATAATATCTTTAGTCGGAAGACCATTTATGTACTTTACCATT